CCTGTACCAATTTAAATTTTCACCAAGAATATGCATGGATTTATTCGATTCCACATCTCTCCACATTTATCCTCCATCTCTTCGACAATAGGCTTTGTGACAGATATAGGGTAATGTTTCATTGTAATTTTCATTTGCACTTCCTTGATCATTGCAAATATTAAATAGTTTTCATGTGGTACATCTTATGGTTTTCATGTGTTTGGCCATTGTATGTGTTCTTTAAAAACTGTCCATTCCAGACAAAATACTTAAAATCAAGTTATGTATTTTCTTGTTATTAGTCTGAGTTTCTTATTTATTTTTATATCAGTGTCTTATGTATTGTGTAACTAACAAACATTTTTCCCATTGTGTATATGCTGTCTTCAGTCTGTTGATTGTTTGTTGCCCTTGGGCGTTCAACGAAGTGTTATTCACAACAGTAAAGATATGGGACAAACACGAGTGTCTGTGTTCACACGAATGAGTAAAGACGTAGCATCCTGCTCAGTTATTTAAAAAGTAAGTTCTGTAATCAGGAAAAAGCATGCCAAAGCAGGAGGACGTTGGGTTAATCAATAATCAACCAGATCAGGCTCTGAAATTCAAGCAACACATGATACTCCTTACACGTGGAATCTTTAACAGAAATGCTCACAGCAGTACATAATACAGTGGTGTTGACGAGGTTTCAGTGGTGGAGTGAGTTAAGTTTGGGAGCGATAGTGCTCTTGAATTTATTTCTCTTGAGTTACTAAAACTGTAAAGTTTTAGTAACACAAGAGAAATAAATTCAAGAGCTCTATTGGAAAACAGGGTGACTGTAAACCCTAATGATATGTTATATCCTTGAAAATTACTCAAATGCAAATATTAAGTGCTCCTATTTCAAAAGGGAAGCATTTTATGAGGTGCTGAATATGTTAGCTAGCCTTGTTGAGTCTATCTATCTATCTATCTATCTATCTATCTATCTTCTATCTACTTTGCATATTAAATATATACAATATTTGCAAAGTAAAATAAAATACATAAATTTTATTTTAAGAAAAGTGAAGAGCTTTGCCTTGAGGTTCTCTTTTCCTAATCTGCACTTTTTCATTGCATTAACTATAATATTTAAATAATCAGTGACTCACAAATTTACAGATTCAGCCTCAATGTGGCCAACAATACTGAGAAATACATTCAATTACCAACAAGATAGTTCATGCAATTTTTAAATTTATCTTTAAATCTTAACTAATTATTTTAATTCTCTTAGTTTCTTGCTAGTAAACTGCATCTATTCTGACATATGAAATCCATTAAACTTCATGACTTTACACCTCTTCTTTGTTATTGATATTTTATTTTCAGTCTCAATTCATC